ATTTTAAAACTTTTGATATAATTATATGGGAAGATAAAAGAAGAGAAAGGTAAAGTAAGCTAAATTCTTATTTCATATAGGAAGTAAATAGCTAATGTCTAAAATTGATTCAATAAAGATAAAATATGAAGGTAAAAATACCAGATAAAATAGCTAAAAGAAGTAAAAGTCACTGCCCCTCAGAAGCAGGAGCTGAGTAGGGTAGAAGCCAAGGACTGTTACTCTAAGATGCCATCTACTGTATTTTGTATAAGTTAGACTCTTAGTAAAAGCTTTATTGGATTTTTTTCAACTTGATAAAAAATAAAAGCAGATTGTTAATTTTAATTCATGACATACACTTGTATATCCTACTATAAAGCAATGGCATTCAAGTGAAAGATTGGCAAGGCCATGTCTAGAGACATTTTCATTGTCACAACTGGTGGGGGAAGATGGGTTTGCTACTGGCATTAAAACATCTTACAATACACAGGACATCACTCACAACAAATAATTATCCTGCCTAAAATGTCATTACTGCCAAGCTTAAAAACCCCTGCTTACAAAGCAATTTTAAGCAACCAATCTGGAAATTTTGATGTGATAGGAAATTAAGCTGTGTAACTTATTACATTCCTTGGCACAATGGGGCTATTTAGGTCACAGTTAGAAAGCATAAATTGAACTCATTCCCAAGGTATCAAACCTTAATCTTCATGAAAAATAAGACATGTTATAAACACCAAACAGTGATGTTCTAGTATAGCTTATGTTGTCTGAGATCTTAACATTTCATAGTTGGAAAAAAATCAAATGACACACTCACTTTAAGTCCATCTGCATATCAGCACCCTGTAGGCTTTAAGGGGATCTAAGTAAACAAATTAAAATCCACTGCAACCAAAATTCTACTCTGGAAAAAATATTCAAGTTATTGTCAGAGAAGTTAAAAATCCAATCCATTGCTTCCCTTGAATTAGTGCTGCTGACTATGCTCTGGGCCAGCGGAAGTAGTTAAGTGTCAATCAACCTTACAATTCCCAGGCTGATAATTTCACTTTTAAAGCCTTCTACCTATTATGAAAGCAAAAGTATAATACAAGTAAGGTCAACAAAGTTCTTGTTCTCTCCAAGAAACAAGATGAACACAAGAAAAAAGCTGCAGAATTTAAAAAAACAAAAAGTTTTTGTTGGTTTTATTAATTATCCACAGGTTTAACTTGCAGTTCTATTTATACATGGCTTTTTTCCTAAGGAAATACAATGACATGAGTATTAAGAGACAAAGAAAACGGCTATCAACTAAACTTTTAAAATTTTGTAATTTAAAAAAAATTTTATTTTCCAATTACAGTTTACATTCAATACTATTTTGTATTAGTTTCAGGTGTACAGCATAGTGGTTAGTTAGACAATCATATCCTTTACAAAGTGATCTTCCAATACCTCAAGCACCCACCTGGCACCATCCATAGTTATGACAATATTATTGACTATATTTCCATGCTGTACTTTACATACCCATGACTATTTTGTAACTACAAATTTGTACTTCTTAATCCCTTCACCGCATTTACCCAGCCCCCCAAACTCCCTCCCTTCTGGCAACCATCAGTCTGTTCACTGTATCTATGAGTCTGTTTTGTTGTTGTTGTTGTTATTGTTGTTGTTCATTTATTTTGTTCTTTAGATTCCACATATAAGTTAAAGCATATGGTATTTGTCTAAAGTTTTGTGATTTTAAGTGTTTCCTCCCCTGATTCCAAAACATTCCCTTAAGATATATGGGGAAAAAAGGTTTGTTTTTTTATTTAAAAATTAAAAATACCTCAGCAATTCATCCATTGTGTTTTTATGTTTGTTTTTCAGGTAGGATGGGAACAAAGAATTTGGTTATTCTCATTTTTCACTGTCCAAGGAAAATGACAAATTATCAACCTAGATTGCATACTAAGATTTAAACTAGATTTGAATTTTGGAATTTCAAAATATACTAAGAACTTGCTTTAATAATACTTTTGGCTAAACTATCTTAAAAAAAAAAAAAAGCTGGGGAGAGTGAGTTTTCTGAGAAGGAAAAAAAAGTTTAAGTAATTGAAGATATACTCAATCTAGACCTTCAGAGATGACAGGTTTTTCTTCCATATCTGTGATTTGGTCTAAATGTTTCCAACAATTTCAACAGCAAGCCGCTAGACTCCTAAATGTTTACGGCCCTTTAAGTTTATATACACAGCCATTTGTTTGCCCTGGGTAACCACATGTTATTATTCAGGCTATGTCCAGGTGGGTTTCCGTGTCAGATGCTACACTATAACAAGGACTCCACTACACTCTGACCTCAGGCTCTATTCCTGGATGGTTTCCCGTAACTTATGACAAAGTCTCAAATCCTTAAAATGGCACAAGGACCCCAAGTGATTTGACTCAACACCTCTCAGCCTCTACTCACATGCCATTCTCCCCAAACTCACTCTCTACCTTGGCCTCTCTCAATTCCTGGAAACGGCTATCTTAGTACATGCTATTCTCTCTGCTGAAAATACTCTGATCCATTTTTTTTTGTACCCACATAACTCCTAGCCTTCTTTCCTCAGGAAGACTTTCTCTACCCTCCAAAGCTAGGTCAGGATCCTGTTATAGTCTCACAGTTCCTGTGACTTTTTCTTACAGCTTTCATCACAACTGTAAGTAATTGTTTATTACTTTAATATTAATATCCTTCATTAGACTGTAAGCTCCATGAGACAAGGGGCTATAATCTGTGTAGTGTTATCACTGTGTCACCAGAGTCTATTAAGCTATTGGTACGCTTGCCAGATATTCAAAAAGTAGTTGTTTCATTATTCTGGAAAGTCATAATAATCTGAATAGTCTTGTAATGTGGCCTTTGATGAGGCCACTCCACTTTATCAAGTGTTTGTATGTTTGAATCTCAGTGTAGAGAAGATTATATCTCATCTCTCTGGCTCCTCCATCCATTTTAGGCAAATTAGTCAAAGTAAATGAATATTTGGATGGAAAGTGAAAGATGTTGCTCAACCTCACATTCTCTAAACAATTGAACACCCAGACCGTATCCCATCAAAACCTCCTGTTACATGTTTGAGTCCTCTAATAAATTACAGAAATCACTAGTACTGAGATAGCTTCTTATTCATTTTTGCTCCTACTATATTTAGTACGAATTAGGCACTTAATACAAGTTTGTTAAATGAATAAATAATTGAATGCTAAAACACTCAAAATAATTAACACAGTTATGAAAGTGGTTCAAAAGAAATATATTAATTTATTCAAAATTATTAAGAAAAAAATTGTTATTGAAATCAAGTTTGTTTTGATATATTAGAGCCCCTTGCTTTCCTGCCTTCATTCACCTATTTATGAATATTTACACTGCTTTCAAAGCAACAAGAGAAATGAAGAAACAACATCATTCTCTTTAAAATAAAATGTCGTATTTAAGAATTCTAATACTGCCATTATCTAATAATATTTTGACACTGGAAAGCACTGATTTAATGTATACTCTATTTTATTAATGCTGTTAACCTTTGGGGCAAGCAAAGGATAACAGCCTTTTCCCTGAGGTTTATCAAAATCCTAGAATTCATGGAAGCTTATAAATGTATGTGTTTGTTATAAAGTCAATAACTAACTTAACAAAACTAAAAGATGCTTATAATTTTCAATCATTAATGTAATTTTTCAAAATTGATTGAAATAATATCCTCAAATAGTTCAGTACCTTCAAAGCTAAGTTTCCTAATTAAAAAAATAATTCATAATGGTACATTATGCCAATACTAAGATAACTAATCAAATCGCTATCTAAATTGTAAATAGTTTCTAAATGAAATTATTTTGGTAATTCAAAATACTATATATATAACTAAAGAAAAATAATACACAAACAAAATTTATTTATCTTAATAAATTATTTTACTCATTGTAAGAGTAGTTCTGATATTGAATATTACCATCAAATTTTAGTAAACTAACTAAAAATCTAACATACCACTTGAACATTTTTAAAATATAAAAATTTTTAGATTCATGGCGTGGTTTTATATTTTTTTCCTCATAAGAGTAAAGGCACAATATCTATGAGGGAAGAATATTTTTATGTATGTACTCCTAAACTAAACTATGCTAAGGAATACAAATAAAATGCAATTTTAAAAATCTAAGCATTACACTTTATAATGCCTCATAAATTATGATCATGCCACCAATTTGAGATGTGGATGCCTGAATTACAAAGTTGAAGGCTTTTGTAGTTTTTAGATCATATTAACTGGTCAAAAGATTTGCTTTAGATATCCATTAAAAGGGCAGCCTTGTTATAATGTGACTTAACTGTATTAAAAGAAAATAACTTTTCTTTTAGTTACACTTTTCCACCAACATCTGATCATGTAAAAGCCTTGGTTCACTCTTCTGCCCCTCAAATACTTTGGTTTAGAGCACAGAAAGTTTTCTTTTTAACTATTACACGATTAAGTGTGTCCTTATAGAATGACCAGAAGCATCTGGAAAAGGTGGAAGTGAAAAAAATCCTCACTGGGAAAGTTAGTTTAATGCTTGCCCTTCAGAGTGGCCCATTATCAACATTTCATAGTGGGTTTCTTTATTTTCAGGTCCCTGAGGTATGTGCAATAAATTACGACTTAAACTAAACAAGTCACACTTGGCTCCAAAATGAAATTTTCCTACCTCTACTTTCTAGTCCCCAAGGTGGGAAGAGGAAATCCTGGTCACAGCCAAAGAAGTCATATTTTTGGCTCTAACACACATTTTCCTGCTTCTCTAAAAGCCAAACTCTGCAACTGAGACTACAAAAGTCTTAAAGTTAGTATTTCAAACTGCATTTTAATTTTTACTTCCATAATCTGTGCCTCAAATTTAAGAAAAAAAATTAATATCATAAAATTAATGTCATTGCCTTCTTTTCCCCCACTCAAATGACTTTTCTAACTCAGACACCAATCTTAACCTTTTAAAATACCAATTCAGTGCTGGCTTCAGCAGCACATATACTAAAGTTGGAACGATACAAAGACGATTGGCATGGCCCCTGTGCAAGGACAACACATAAAATAAGAATTCAAATGAAACAATAGAGAAAATAATGCAGAAATAGATTGTTTCATTTCTACAAGATAGGATATTTAAGGTTTACATTTATGAATAATTTCTACTTATTCTTGCATGATAGACTGAACATTAATATAAAAGAAAACAATGAAGTCCTAATTTGTGGTCCAGTAATTTGAAGAACTATGTTTGTTTTGGAAAAGCCATTTATGAAAATCATTCAGTTCATCATCTCATTTTACAGAAGACAAGAATATGGCAGACAAACCCTAAGGTGACTCCCAGAGGGTTGTGTCTTGTAGAACACTCTCACCCTGAGTGAGAGCAGAACCTGTAACTTGCTTCTAGCCAACAGAATATGGCAAGGGTGATGGATAGTCACTCCCTTAGTTAGGTTATATTATAAGGCAAAGGTACAGGGAAGTTACTCTTGTGACTCCATTTTAGTAGACAAGAGCTAGAGAATATCTTGTTGATCTTGAAGAAATAACCTGCCACGTTGTGAGAGGGTCTGTGAAAAGGCCCTATGGCAAGTAACTCTGAGTAGCCTCTAAAAGAACAGATGACTTGGGGTGGTGAACACACAATATAATATACAGATGACACCGTATAGAACTGTACACTTAAAACCTATACAATTTAATTAACCAATGTCACCCCAATAAATTCAATATAAATTTAAAAAATAAATAAATTTGCCTTGGTTGGTTTGGCTCAACAGTTAGAATGTCAGCCTAGAGAGGAAGGATGGTGGGTTCGATTCCCAGTCAAGGGCACGTACCTGGGTTGCAGGTTGAATCTCCCGTCCCAGTTGGGGTCATGTGGGAGGAAACCAATCGATGTTTCTCTCTATCTTCCTCCCTCCCTTCCACTCTATCTAAAAAAAAATCAAAGGAAAAATATCCTCAGGTGAGGATTAACAAAAAAATATATATTTTAAATGAATTAATAATTAAATATATAAATTTTCCCTGGCCAGCATGGCTCAATTAGTTGGGTGTCATCCCAAGCACTGAAAGGTTGCTGGTTTGATTTCGAATCAGGGCACATGATGGGACTATGGGCTCGATCCCTGGTGGGGGGTGTGCAGGAGGCAGCCAATCGGCATTTCACTCTCACATTTATGTTTCCCTCTGTCTCCCTTCCTCTCTTTCTAAAACTCAATAAAACCTTTTAAAAAAATAAATAGCCCTGGCCAGTTTGGCTCCACAGTTATAGAGTGTCGGCTCGTGGACCAATGAGTGGCGGCTTTGATTCTGGTCAAGGGCACATACCTCGGTTGCAGCTCGTCCCCAGCCCTGGTTGGGGCCCCGTGGGAGGCAGCCAATCAATGTGTCCCTCTCACATCAATGTTTCTCTCCCTCTCCACCCCACTCTATCCGAAGATAAATGGAAAAATATCCTTGGATGAGGATAAAATACATACATACATACATACATACATGAGCTAAGACTATATGAAACTCTTTGAGGAAAGCATTGGGAGCAAATCTGCATGACCTTGGGTTTGGCAATGGTTTTCTAAATATGACACCAAGAACACAAACGACAACAAAAAACAGATAAAGTGAACATCATTAAAAGTTCAGACCTCTTTATGTCTTTTATATCCCATAGTAGTGTACAAATAATAATTTTTAGTAACTTGTTTGGTCATTTATGAATTTTAAGAAACCATCCATAATAATGTTCTGGTTTATTTCAGATATTAGTATTTCAGATATTCAGGTACCGAATGCTATATTCTGGTCATTTCCAGATGATAATAGACCTTCTTAATTAGAGAATTTGCATACCTACATGGTTGAAGTTTATAAACATCAGTCTTTTGGATTGATGCCTCACAAAGATACTTTAGTTATGAAAAAAATGCCAGGATTCCTTTTTGAAGTCTTAATTCTAAATCCTTTGCCATGTGTGGTGGAGAATTACCACCACCATTCTTCCACCATGCTCCTGACTTTGGGCTTGGGCATATGGCATGCTACACACAAAAGGTTAGTAAATGTGGAAGTGCTCATACAATCAACCTGCCCTCTTGTATCTCTGCCATTACAATGATAACATGTTTGGCTAGTGTGTTGGTCCATGAAGGATGACATGCCCATGTACAGCAGATCTTACCCAGTTGAGCCCAACCGACAATGGTCAAACCTGGGTGACTGAGCCTAATTGAAATTAGTGAGCTTCCCAGCACGCCCAGCCTAGATCATCTACTGCCCACACACCCCCAACCCCATAGAAGTGTATCCCAGAATAAATAAGTGTTGTTTTAAGTTACTGAGTTTTAGAATTGTTTGTTACACAAGAAGAACTGATCTAGACATATGACAAAAAGAAAAACACTTCCCTTACATCTAGTATTGCCAGTAAAGAATTTCCCTCTTTATCTGTCTTGACTACTCCTGGGTCAATCCAATTTGGCCCTTTCAGGAACCACTAGGAATACTAGACAAACTAGGTAAATTCCTTTGGAATACTCCCCTTCCCGACCCAGACTGCACTGAATCTTCTATTATTCTCCTGTTCTATACAACTAGAACCACTGGGATTCAGTTAAGTAGAACTACAAAGCAGGATCATTACTGAGGAATATCAGAGTAGACCACTGGGTATCTCTCTCTCTCTCTCTCTCTCTCTCTCTCTCTTTTGCATGACAGACTGAGATGTTAATGCTTTATTTTTTAATGCTTTTAATGCTTTCCCAGGGAAGAACTTATAGTGAAGAAATAAAGCATTAAAAACCCAAGACTGGCCCGGCTGGTGTGACTCAGTGGTTGAGAGTTGACCCATGCACCAAGAGGTGGCTGGTTCGATTCCTGGTCAGGGCACATGTCCAGGTTGTGGGCTCAATCCCCAGTGGGGGGTATGCAGGAGGTGGCCAGTCGATGTTCTCGCTCATTGATGTTTCCATCTTTCTCTCCCTCTCTCTAAAATTAATAAATAAAAATAAAAATAAAAAAAACAAAAAACCAAGACTGGCGTAACAACAATGCCCAGAATCACAGTTGTTGGGAATGAAGGTAGAGAAAATAGAAGGTAAAAGTAACTTTTTCTTCACAAGTAACATTTTATTTAATTTTAAGAATTTTGAAAGAATAACATAATAAACACCTGGATTCTCACCATATTTTCTTGCAACTTTTTTGTTTGTTTGTTTTTTGTTTTTACTAAAACATACAAGCATTATAGAAAAAGCTAAAGTCCTTTTGGTCACAAATGATATTGATCATGTCTTTCTCTTCTTCTCAGATGTATCACTATTATGAGTGAATTCTTTCAGGTCTTGTTACTTTGTATTTAGTAGAATTAGTATTAGCCATAAAGTCGTTTTCTTTTCTGGCTCTTAAGAACTCATATATAGGTCCAAAAAAGAGAGAAGATTCAAGCAAAAATTAGATACTCTTGAGGACTTCCAGAAATTCTGAGGAGGTCCAGAGGTTAGGAAAGAATAGGAACTAGTCACAGAAATACTGTTTATTATTGTTAATAGTATATTATTCACAGCGTCTAGTAAAATATTAACAATAAAGAAGATAACTGCCTGGAGGAAGAATTCCTGCTTTGGTATGCGACCCTAACAGGTTGTGCTCTGAGAAGAGGGATATAAATTATACTCAATGCAGTCAGCTCAGTGGTCAGAAAACCTGAATTCTTGGTCTCAGAGTGCTAGCATATTCGAATGCCAATAGGAAGTAAACAAAAATCTCCTTGATGGAACATTATCTTTGGCTTCAAATTACTGCTACAAATAATTTTTTAGATATAATGTTTAGCAAACAATCAGTGATAATGACCAGAATAACTGGCTCAGGACTGTCCCTCCCACTGCAAAACTGGACACAATAGATAAAAGCAACTGTTTTCAGGGAGTAGACACCAGGTAACATATGACTAATGTCAGAGATAAGGGAAATCCATTAGGTGAACTCCATGATTCTCAGCTCTCTTCCTGAGCAAATTTCCTGACAAGAGCACAGACCACTGACTACAGTGGTCCTGCTGAGCTGAGGAGAAGAGATAAGGAATTTGGAGCAGCTAAAACCACAGGGCAGGGCATGACATTGGAAAGGAAGAAGCTAGAAAAGGGCACCACAACTATGGAGACTCCTATTAGTCTGTGGCTAACAGCTTCATAGAACACAAACTGCTGGCCACCTCCATAGTTTCTGATTCAGTAGGTCTGGGTGAAACCTGAGAATATGTATTTCTATAAAGTTCCTATGTGATACTGATGTTCCTGACCTGGAACCACATTTTGAAAATCACTCTTGTTAAACAAAGTGTAAGGTAAAAATAAAATAGGCATGCTCTCCCTCTCTGGAGCATGCCCATATCATTCTCTCCTCTGCCCCCTCCCCCAAAACACACACTGGTTACCTTTGCCTTTCTCTCTCCCAAGCTGCAAGGGCCCTTCTTTTACTTCTGTAACTTGGTTCCTGGACCTACACAGCTCAGCTGGCTCACTTCTACTACCTCTGTAACTTTCTAAATAAACTTTTTCTTAATATTTGGAAAAATATAATACAATAAACCAATATCTACTAAACCTTTCTCATTCAATGAGTCACTACAGAATTAAAAGTTCAGAAGATACATGAAAAATGTATAATTAACTTTACACAAAATCAACAACTTCTATGATAAAATTTCTTAGGACTTTAAAGGCCTACCTGAAGATCCTTCACATTTGGAAAAGGAATTCCTATTGTTATGACAGCACGGGCATTGTCATCTGAGAAATCAAGACCCTCACTCACTTTACCACGACAAACTGCTACCAGGAGGGCTCCATCTTAAGCAACAGAAAATAAACATTCTTAAAAGCACGTTCAAAATCCCCAGAAATTGCCTATTCTTGTCATTTTGAAAAGCTTTGATTAAGTAATCACAGTAGCAAACTTAAAAGAATCAAAATTAAAAATTATTTTGAGATAAAGTTTAAAATGTTCAATGTCTTTAAATAAACGAGGAAAACAAAATTACATTTAGCTATAATGTTTTAGCAAACCAATTTACAAACTGTGTATCTCCCAGTAATGTACATAGCCAAACCACATCATAGGAGCAATTTGCACATGAACTAAGCAATTGTGAACCAACTGTTTTATCTTTAAAAATTAAAATTGTAATCATTACCATTACCACCAGCATGTCAAGTTCTCGCAACTATTTAAATAACTTTTAATTTATACAATATATCATAATGAATCAATAATATATGGAAAAGTATGTAAAACACAGATAGAACACTCACTATACAAGGACATTGACAATTATAGTATTTTTATGACCTTGCATTGCTCATAAATTATTTATGGACATTCTCTAACTTTGATACTGAGTCTTCAGTTATGTTTTGAAAACTCAAGTTTACCTTATGTAATAGAATATAAGCACAAAGTATATTATTTGTATCAAAATGTAGGGCTCATTTGGCTAGTAAGGAAGATATTTATACCTGAGCTACCTGCCTTCTTTGACAACACATTGCAGGTAGTATAGGGCAGACCATTTTCCCCAGTTGCAAACATTCACAGGAGAATAATTCCAAATAAAGAATTTCTTTAACTTATTTTCTTTTCACTCAGAAGTATAAAATATAATTCTTCCTTTAAATGCAATGCTTTTTTTTAAAATAACATAAATAATGGTCTAACAGCACCAACTTCTTACTTTATAGTAAAAAATATTTTTTCATTGATCATCCAATAACTTTCAATTACCTTTCTCTCCTTTGCACTTGATCGCATCATAGTACACCTGTAGTAATTCATCAAAATCAGTTTTTTCTCCTCCCTGTGGTTCTACAATGACTGTTTTCACCAACTCCAGATTGTGCCATAAACCAGTGGAGAGCCAACGATCTTTTAACTTTTCTAATAACTAAACAGGAAGAGAAAAATGAATTTTTTGTGTGTCCAACTGAACAAATTTACCTTGATTTGTTTAAAGCCAGTGTGGCTACCACATGACTATGGCAAGCATATTAACATTTCTGTGTATTACATTTCTCATCTACAAAATGAGGAAAACAATAATATGTCACAGAGTTGTGATTGGGTTAAATTCATTAACTGATTTAGATAGCTCTGAATAATGCCTGTCACATAGTAAGAGCACCAGAAATGTTAGCCGCTGCTGTTAACTTATCTCTTTAAACCTAAGGTGAATTTCTTTAATATTATTAACTAAAGATTCTTTAACTGAAAATTCTTCAACTTATTTGTGGAATATAATGAACATAACAGTCTGAGGAATGGGGTAGTCCCAGAGAAGTGGAAGTGGGGTACAGACTGACAATCACCAGAAGAGGGGTGGTGAGGGAGAGAGAAATCACAGAACTTATATACATGTGTGCATGAACAATGGACATGGACAACAAAGCTGGGGACAGGGCGGGGAGGGTGAGGGAGGGGAATCAGTGGGAGAAAAAGGAGAAACATCTGTAATGACAATTAATTAATTAATTAATTAATTAAAAAAATAAAAAGAAAATTCTTCAAGATCATTTTATCTAATCCATAGGCTGCTAACCTGTTTGAAAAAATTGTCATATTTTTAAAAACTAAATCAAGTAAATATAAAAACAGAGACTCATATACCCAACAAGCAGAAAATATACAAATAGAGTATTTACAAAAATAGCCTGGTGTTAGATTACAAAAGGATTTTCAACAAATTTCAGAGAGTCTTTATCAGTAACCATAATAGCTCTGGCCAGTTTGGCTCAGCGGCTGGAGCGTCGGCCTGCGGTCCAGAGAGACCCAGGTTTGGTTCCCACTAAGGGCATGTACCTCGGTTGCAGTTTGTCCCCAGCCCTGGTTGGGTCGTACGGGTGGCAACCACTCAATGTGTCCCTTTCATGTGGATGTCTCTCTCTCTCACACTCTATCTGAACAAAAAAATGGAAAAAATGTCCTCAAGGTGATGATTAAAAAAAAAAAAGCAACTCTGATTAAAAGTCAATAATAGCCCTGGCTGGTTTGGCTCAGTTGTTGGAGAGTCAGCCAGCAGACCAGAGTCCCGGGTTCGGTTCCTGCTACGGGCACGTACCAAAAAAAAAAGTCTGGGGGGGGGGGAATATAAGCCCAACACCAAAAATTACATTCTTAAAGAAAATGTGGGTTATTTGTCAATTTTATCTCAATGAAGCTAAGGAAAAATAACAGAAAGAGAACATAATGATTTAAAGGGGAAAACAGAATTCATGAAAATCTTTCAGTGTAAATGATAAGAAAAGCACCCACAATTCCAAATATATGGGATAAAGTAAAGGCAATACTTAGAAATATACTAATTAAGCTTGAAATGTATTTATTTAAAAATTTTTAAAGTAGTAAAATTAGCACTTAGAACTTTTAAGAAACTAAAGAATTAAAACTGTAAATGCACAGAATATAGAAGTAAATAATAAACATAGATGAAATAAATGAGAAACAAAAGCCAGTAGTAGAGATTATGATGTAAGTTGAATTGTTTTACCCACTTGTTCTACATAGAGTGCTATATAATGTGGACCAGTTAGTACAATGTAGGCAAGCACCAAGAAATTACCCCCAATTTTCTAGAAAACAAGGAACAATTTTTATAAAATCATTTATTATCCTTATCTATTTTCAGAAATAAATATATAATATATACTAATACAAGTTAAAAGAGATCCCACAGCCCTGGCCGGTTTTGTTCAGTGGTTAGAGTATCAGCCCATGGACTAAAGAGTCTCAGGTTCAATTCTGGTCAAGGGCACATACCTCAGTGGCGGTTCGGTCCCCGGCCCTGGTTGGGGGCATGTGGGAGGCAACCAACTGATGTGTTTCTCTCATATCGATGTTTCTCACTCTCTTTTTTCTCCCTCCCACTCTGTCTGAAGGTAAATGGAAAAATTTCCTTGGGTAAGGATTAAAAAAAAGAGAAAGAGATCCCACAGAGCTCCCTGGCCCCTTCCATCATGTGAGGACACAGCGAGAAGGCACTGGCTACCTATCAGGAAGAGGACCCTCACCCAACCATGCTAGCACCCTGATCTCAAGACTTCCAACCTCCAGAATTGTGAGAAATAAATTTCTGTTGTTTATAAACTAACACCTCTGTAGTATTTTGCTACAGTGGCTGGAACAAACTAAAAAAAAAAAAATCACTAACTGGTAAAATAGTTCACTACATATTATATAATAATCAGGGTACCCTAATCAATAAAAATAAAGCAAGGAACATCACAGAAAAGGTCCCTGCCTTTATGACACTTACAATATAGTAAGAGAATACTACATTCCTAAAGATGTAGAATAAATATGGCCTGAAACTCCAAAATTTGTATCTATAGCCCTGATTGCTACTCTAAACACTATACCATACAGCCAATGGCCTAATCAAATTCACCAGTTAGATACCTCAGAGTCACCTGAAATGTTTTATACAAGACCAAATGTGTCATATTCCAGTGGTTGTTATCTCAATAAAGGACACCACCATTCACTGAGTTGTCTTTGCTAAAACACTAAGTCATCCTTAAAAATTCTCCCTTCCCGTCATGTTCAATCTGTTACCAAACCCACATTTTTGTCTTCTTTTAAATATTTCTCCATATACAAAGCCACTAAACCAGTCCTAGCTATAATAATCTCTTGAAGGTCTACTCCAGTAGTCTCCTAAATGGATTTCTTGGGTCTTATCTATCATTCTTGGGTCATTTCAGCTGAAGCAATATTTCGAAAATATCTTACCAAATCATCCACTCCACTTTAAAAAATCAATAGGGAGTGCATCAACAGACCCTCCTTGCCCCTAATAGAAACACTGATTCAAAAATAACAAATGAACCAATTACTTTTATAAAAATTAAAAAACAAACAAACAAAAAACAGTTGAGAGGTTCCTGCCTCCCAGATGAGTAAGAAACTAACTGCATCAAAGATGGTAGGAAAATTCATGGCACCACTTGCCTTAGTCCCTCCCCCACAACTCAGCATGGTGCAACTAGGAGAAAACTTCCAACTCCTGGCTTCTCCCTGAGTAGAGAAAGAGAAAACTGAAACGTAGGTCCAACGTGCAGACTTTTAGGGGGGCTGCTCAAGAGACTGGTTTTTCTCTTGCCTGAATCTAAACACGCACAGGAAATGGCACTAGGTCGGGGGCTACCAAGTACAAAGGTGAAGGTTTAGACCAGCAGGCACTCACTCACCATTAGTCTCTCCTCCTTCCTCAGCACTTAACAAGCAAGAGAAAACGCCTAACTCCCAGTTTCTCCCTGGGGAGGGAAACTGTTGAACTGTATATCCAATGTTTTACTTTTTGGGGGCTGCCTGAGAGACTGGCTTCTGTGTCTCCTGTCTTAGAGCACTGACAAGACCTGGCATACCCAAGATATTAGAGGGCCACTCAGAACAAACAGATCTGGGCAGCATGCTACCACTCCAAAGGACTAAGCAGCACAGCCGACAAAAACAGAGGGAGCAAGAGATTACAAACTCTTAAAAAAAAAGAAAAAACTTGGAAAATCCCTCTAATTAGAAATCTATATACACAAATCTAGAGAAGACATATCTACACTAAAGGTTTAGGAGGCCCGCAGAATCTGTAGTTGGACTAATTGGTGAAGGTCTTGCCCTGTACAAAGCCAGTACATAAAAGACTGGGAGAGGTGACTCGTTTTCAAATGGGTACATACAAACACAAAGTTACATGGAACATAAACAGGGTAAAATGGCCTAATCAAAGGAACAAAATAAACTCTAGGAATCAACCATAAAGAAATGGAATTATATGAATTATGTGATAAAGAATTCAAAACAACCCTCACAAAGATGCTCAACAAGTTCAGAAAAATGATACATGAACAAAATAAGAACTTCAAAAGAGATATAAAATATACAAAGAACCAAACAGGAATTTTGGAGCTAAAGAAAATAATAACTGAACTGAAAAATTCAACAGAGGGTTTCATCACAGACTTGATCAAATAAAATTTTAAAAATCAGTGAACTTGCCCTGGCCAGGTGGCTCAGTGGAGCGTTGTCCTGTATATCAGGTTGCAGGTTCAAGTCCTGGTCAGGGCACATACCTAGGTTGCAGGTTGGATCCGAGTTGGGACGTGTATGGGAGGCAACCAATTGAGAGGAAATCTCTCTCTCTCTCTTTAATATATTTTATTTATTTATTTATTTATTTTTTTATCATCCTCACCCGAGGACATTTTTCCATTCTTTGTTCAGATAGTGTGGGAGGGAGAGAGAGGAACAGAGAGAGAGAGAAACATCGATGTGAAAGAGACACATCGAGTGGTCGCCACCCGTACAACCAACCAGGGCCGGGGACAAACTGCAACCGAGGTACATGCCCTTAGCGGGAACCGAACCTGGGTCTCTCCGGACCGCAGGCCGATGCTCTAACTGCTGAGCCAAACCGGCCAGGGCTATTTTATTTATTTTTTAGAGAGAAAGGAAGGGAGAGAGAGAGAGAAACATCTATATAAGAGAGAAACATCTATTGGCTGCCCCCTACTGGGATCGAGCCCGCAACTGGGCATGAGCCCTGATCAGGAATCAAAGAGGGACCTCTTAGTCCCTGGGATGACATGTAATCCACTGAGCCACACTGGCCGGGCCGATTGATGTTTCTCGCTCACATGGATGTCTCTCTCTATTTCTCAATCTTTCTCTAAACATATCCTCGGGTGAAGATTTTTTTTTTAATCTTCACCCAAGGACATTTTCCCATTTTTTGTTCAGATAGAGTAAGAGGGAGAGAGAGAAACATCGACGTGAAAGGGACACATCGAGTGGCTGCCACCTGCACGACCAACCAGGGCCGGGGACAAACTGCAACTGAGGTACGCACCCTTAGCGGGAACCGAACCTGGGTCTCTCCAGACCGCAGGCCAACATTCTAACCATTGAGCCACATAAGCCAGGGCTCTTGGGTGAAGATTTTTACTTTTTTATATATATATACATATATATATATATATATGTATATATATGTAACACATGTACCAACAAGGATGAACACAAATCTATAGGTATTGAGTTTAAAAAGTAAATTATAGCCCTGACCAGTCTGGCTCAGCGGTTAGAACATCGGCCTGCGGTCCAGAGAGACCCGGGTTCGGTTCCCGCTAAGGGCACGTACCTCGGTTGCAGTTTGTCCCCTGGCCCTGGATGTGTGCGGGTGGGGCCACTCGAGTGTCCCTTTCACATCGATGTTTCTCTCTCTCTTATTCCTCTCTCTCCCTCCCTTCTATCGAACAAAACATGGAAAAAGTCCGCGGGTACGGATTTAAAAAAAAAATAATTAAGTAAATAACATAATTATTTATTCATACAAGCTAAAACATGCTGCGCAGATATATATCTTTTTAAAATGAGCAACACCTGCCCTGCCAGTTTGTCACGTTAGAGCTGCCTGCGGTCTGAGAGACCCGGTTCGTTCCCGATAGGGCAGTCTTCGTGTTTGCTTTGTTCTCCGCTTCTGTTGTCGTGCGGGTGCAGTCACTCATGTGTCCTTAAGTGAGTTTCGATGTCTCTCCCTTTTATCTACTCCCTCCCTATATATGTACAAAAATAAAATATCCTCGGGTGAGGATTAAAAAAAAAAAAGAATAAATGTCTATATAAAATAAATAAATTTAAAAAAAAAAAAAAAATGAGCAACACTAATATCTCTAAGGATGAGAGGATATGATTATGAACGGGTACATGGGGGCTTCTAATATAGGAGTAATGTTGCATTTTTTGTTGAGTGGTGGATACTTAGATGTCCATTTTATTGTTGTTGAAATGTATTAAGTTTATATATTACACACATTATATTTCATAATTAAGATAATAAATACTAAAAACACTACTACTCTGATATTAATATGGATGAGTTAGAGGGGTCAGAGTGGGTACAGTTAGGCTACTAATACAGTAATCCAGAGATGGATGTAGCTTGAATTAGAAAGTGTTAAAAAAAATTACATAAACTTGAGAGAAATGGGGGGGAGCAGCACAACCTCTCAATTTCGTATGGAGGCAAAAACCCATCTGAGGATTATACAGGGAAATGCACTTTACTGAACTCACTGTTTATTATTAAGATCTCAGTGAAATTATATTTTTGTCCTGTAGAAATGCAAATAATTTCTGCCCATGAGAAAAGATAACCCCAAAGGTTACAGTTTATTAGCCTAAAGTACATTAATCAGTTTTGTATTCAGGCTGACAATCTTATAGTCTATCCCTATTTATTAAATCGCCTATAAGTACATAGCTCCTTCAAATGCTCTCTGAATCAGCCTTAACATCATATTAATTCCCTCATTAATTTATAAATTGAATAAATTATTTGACAAGTGTTCACTTTATATTTACATGTGAGTCATTATTTCACCTTTTTAAAAATTATGTTGCAGAGAAAGCGAACATATTAAAATATTTAAAATTAAAATTATCGTGCCCCCTAATTATCTGATTTGTCCAAATATAAATTGTGGTACCATTCACTCATAAATATCCAAGATTGAGCGGAAAGTTTACAAATTTGTTGCTTTTGAGATACTCAGACTAATAATTAATCTGGTATTGAGAATATGAATGAGTGTGATGTTGCGACTGATAATAAGAAATATATAGTTGGTCTTTATCCCTGCTCCTAGAACAGAGCTCCTAAAACCCTTGGAATTTCCTGAGCTATAAGAGCTATAGGAACACCTTTTGTTCCAGTTCCTGAAATAGCTCCAGAGCTGTAAAGGTGAAATAATTCATTTATAACAAGCCCCTTTCAACCACGTCTGAGTGTATGTTAATTAGACTTTTAGACAGCCCTCAAGTAACCTAAAGATGGTGGCTGATTGTCAGGGGAATCAACCATGTTATTAGAAGGTTGGAACTCTCAGTCCCACCCCTTGACCTCCAGGGACGGAAGAAGGGCTAGAGGTTAAATCAATTACCAGTGGCCAGTGGTTTAATCAACCTCTATAAAAACCCCAAAACATAGAGTTTGGAGAGCCTCCACCATATGCTGGAGTGAATATATCCCATTTCACGGGAACAGAAGCTCCAGTGCTTGAGACCGTTCCAAACCTCACCCCATATACTTCTTCACGTGGCTGTTCATCTGCATCCCTTATAATATCCTCTATAATAAAATGGTAAATGTAAGTCAATGTTTCTCTGAGTTTTGTGAACCACTCTAGTAAATTAATTGAATCTGATGAGGGGGTTGTGGGGACCTCCAATTTACAGCCAGTCAGTCAGAAGCATAGGTAACAATCTGAATCTGAGATTGGCGTCAGAAGGGGCAGTCTTGTGGGCCAAGCTCTTAATCTGTGGGATCTGATGCTACCTCTAGGTGGGTAGTGTCAGAATTGAGTTAAATTGTAGCTGGGGTCGCAGATTTGGTTGATGTGTAAAAACTCACACATCTGGAGTCAGAAGTGAAGTTGTTGTAGCAGATTACTGAGAACAGAGGAGACACACAGAAATGAGTTTTTTATTTAAGAGTTTGATACTTAGAATTGATATATTAACTGGAAAACCAAGACAATAGATGTTACTGAAATAATGCACTAGATGAGACTAACTTGCAGTAGAGTATGGGATAAAGAAAAAAGCCCACTAAGACAACCTTACTCCCTATTTCTATCATAATGTACATCCAACCTATTAGCAAATCCTGCCAGCATTACTTTCAAATTGTATCTAGACTCCAAAAAGACTGCTACCACAGTGGTCCAAGGTACCACCATCTCTCACTGAGTTATTACAGTAGACTCCTACATAGTTATCTTACTCTCTACAGCCCATTTTCCATACAGCAGCCAGCACAATCCCTTTCAAATTAGGTCTAAAGCCTCAAAGAGGTTCCTACTGCATTCAGAAAATAAAGCAAAAAATACCAATTATTGTGATGAAAATGGTCTATGAAAAATTTTCAGTTTTAGATAACAAAATATTTAGGTCTACAGCTTTTCCATTATCATGGCAGGTGACACTCTAACTGCACATTTATATATCTTAATTACTTCCCC